TTGCACAAATGCATTATCAACACTAACTACGCATTAAGATTGTTAAACTTTCTTAAATACTTGCACAGTAAATACTTCAGGAGGTTGTATTCCTCTTGTAGCATGTAATCTATACACAACATCATTATCTTGTGTTATATCTAATACTGGAGATACTTGTGAATGGTAATCAGGTACTTGCAATATTAAATCTTGTACAACTGCTGCATTAGATGCAACTAGAGATACTCATGAAGAATGCCAAGACTATCTTCCAAATTGCACAGTTACTGCTACTGGAATAGGTGGTTGTGTTGCTCTTAATGATTGTAACACTTATACATCAGAAAGATAATGCAAAATTAATACTAGTGGTTCATTATGTGGATGGAATGGTTCAGTATGTGCTAATAGATCTTGTTCTACTGCTCCTCCAACTGTAACATATAGTAATGATAGTGCTTGTTAAGATTATATGGATGGTTGCACAGTAGTAGAAACTGGATATGGTTGTTAATCTAGAAAATCAGAGTGTTCTGATTATATAGTAAGTAAATAGTGTGTAAAAACAATATCAAATTAATTATGCTATTGGAATATGGAATTGCCTCTACCTGCTTGTGAGAATAGAACATGTTTTAATGCACCTAGTAATTCACTTACTCCTATTTTATGTGAATAACACTTACATCTCTGTTATTCTAATATGTAATATTGCAGATTAGAAGAATGTGAAGATCTTCCATATACAACAGACTTTGAATGTAAATACTTTAATAGTAAATGTACAACTGATGGTATTAATTGTGTAATCAGGAAGAAATGTTAAGATGTAAAGAATAGTGCTGGTTGTATTACAGATGATTAATTTAATGAATGTGAATGGTATAATTAATTATGTGTATTAAAAACCTGTTAAACAGCACCAGCATATACTACTGAACTTGAATGTAATCTCTATAAAGAAGGATGTACAACTAAATTATTTGGTGGTTGTCGTGAAAAAACTACTTGTTAAGATGCAAATGCTGAATCAGCATGTACAACCTCCAAAACTGGTGAGATCTGTGTCTGGGAACAAAGTTTTTGTAGAGTATAAAAATGTGAAGATTTTGATGGTAGTTATGATGAAATATGTGATACATAAAAAAAAGGATGTGTTAGTGATGGAACTAAATGTATTTTACCAAAATATTGTTCATAAATACTAGATAAAGATTAATGTCTAAAAGGAGTTGATGGACCATGTGTATGGTATGAACTAGGTTGTACTCTATTTCTCTCTTGTTAAAGCATAATAAGTGATCTAGATAGAGTTTGTAAGTCTGCTAATAGTTTATGTACTACTGATGGATTAAAATGTGTTGGATTGGATAAATGTGCTAATTATAGAATATAAGAAGCTTGTAAAATAGGTTTAGATGGTAATTGTTAATGGATAGAATCTTCAAATGAATGTCTATTATTTGTCTAATGTTCTGATTTACCTTTTTTAACTCATGATGAATGTTAAAAGGCTTCATCTAAATGTACTACAGATACTTTGAATGGATGCATTAATTTATAATAATGTTTCAATTATAAACAGAAAGAGTAATGTAAAATCAGTTCTTAACAACAAAAATTGATTGATAATTAAGTACTACAAACAGGATAGTGTGCATGGGTTAATAAAAAATGTAGAGATCAATTATGTGAAGATTTAAGTGGTGAAACACATGAATCATGTCAAACAAAACTTAAAGGTTGTACTTCAGATGGTACAAATTGTATTACCATGCAACCATGTTAATAATATTCTAATATTATCACCTGTAATCTTGCATTAGGAACAGATGGGAAATGTTTTTTTTCCAATTTTGGTTGCAGAACTCTCGAATGCACTGATATTAAAAATGGAACTAATCATTTTATATGTTAAAGTTAAAATTCAACTTGTATTTCTAATGGAGAAAAATGCATTTCCTAAGTTAAGTGCGAAGAGTATCCAAATTAATTAGCTTGTACTTACAAAGGATTAGATGGATAATGTACTTGGAATGGTTCTAATTGTATTTTGATGAAATCTTGTGAGGATGCAAATATAGATATGATAGCCTGTTAAAGAATGGGTGACTTATGTAATTGGATCTCATATGCTAATGGTACATCCTCTTGTCTCAAACACACATGTTAAACTAAGGGAGTTCTCAATCAATGCAATTATATCAAAGATTTTAATGGATTAACCATAACTACATGTTTATGGTCAAATGAAATATGTTAATCAGTAGATCCAAAATATTTTTAAAGTACTGAATGCAATTTCAACACATTAAATACATATAGATGGAATCCAGTTAACAATACCTGTGAGTCTTGTTCTCTTTAATAAGTGGATAATACAAATACAACTGTTGTTAGTTATCTTTAAATATTATCTACAATGATAATATATGCAATATTATAATGAAATAATATTATTCATCATAAAATATATACATTATTTACAATTCAAATAATTAACAGCAATGTATTTATCAAAACCTTTATCTCATTACTTTGCACTTCAATATCCAACATTACCAGAATTACCTTAAAGAGAGTTCCCAAAGTTAATATATGATTCAAGATATGAAATAGAAGATAAATATTATAGAAACTAAATCTAAAATCAATAATAATAAGATTTGGCTTAATCTCAACAAGAATATCAAAAATTGGATAGAACTTTAAACAAATACAATCAATTTAAATAAGATTCTGATAATATGAATTTAACATATGACAATAAATAAAAGAACAATTAATAATAAGAACCAACTATTTCAGAAAAATATAATTAAATCACAGATTAGGATATCAGATTCGTTTCTTATGTATTTTAAGAAGAAATTTAATTTAGAAAAGAATTTGTGCAAATCAATAAAAAACTAAAACAACTTAAAACAAATTTATTATAATTATTTTTTGCATTTACATCTGATAATCATTATGTAATAATTTATTTTAATTATTAGAAAATAGAAAAGTTTAAATTTTTAGAAGTATTGTAATCCTATCAAGATGATATAAAAATTTGTGATTTAGAATTATTATTCAATTATTTAAATAATTGGAAACGTTCTTAATCAATTACTTATGGATAATTTTTATAATTAATTATTCCTTATGTAAAATATGAAGAAATGCCAGATCCTGGTGATTTAAAATATCAATAAGATCATCCTACATAAGAATAAATGGAAATATTTTGTAGATTAATATAAATGAAATTGTAAATGATGTCTACACTTGAATACTATAGATAAAAGATTGATAAATCTCTCATTAATTTAGTTTAAATTTTTGAATTTATAGATTAAGACAGAGATGGATGGATTAAAGCATTTGAAATCACTAAATTGTTATGTAATAAATTACAATTATCAATACCTAGAGTAATTTGGTTATTTGGTGACAATTGAAGAAGCTTCACTTGTATTACAAGACATTGATGAAAGAGGATAAATTAATATTAATTAATTTGTTTACTATTACAAACCAAAATCTTTGGCTATATATTTATGATATATATATATGTAATCATAACACTTTTTATTTTTAAAATATACATAAACTTCATCATTTATATAATATAAAAAATATAAAATTGGTGATATTATAATTTAGAACATCTTTTTATTTAAAAAATGTTATTCATATTTTAACATTATTAAATATTTAATCAATCATGAAGTATATTTTATGTTGGAAGTTCTCCATGTTGGTTAATATATTCTATAATTTCTGCAAATTATCTTTGTTCTGGTTAATATTTTGGAATATCCTCTCTACTAGTATATAGANTATTTATCAAAACCTTTATCTCATTACTTTGCACTTCAATATCCAACATTACCAGAATTACCTTAAAGAGAGTTCCCAAAGTTAATATATGATTCAAGATATGAAATAGAAGATAAATATTATAGAAACTAAATCTAAAATCAATAATAATAAGATTTGGCTTAATCTCAACAAGAATATCAAAAATTGGATAGAACTTTAAACAAATACAATCAATTTAAATAAGATTCTGATAATATGAATTTAACATATGACAATAAATAAAAGAACAATTAATAATAAGAACCAACTATTTCAGAAAAATATAATTAAATCACAGATTAGGATATCAGATTCGTTTCTTATGTATTTTAAGAAGAAATTTAATTTAGAAAAGAATTTGTGCAAATCAATAAAAAACTAAAACAACTTAAAACAAATTTATTATAATTATTTTTTGCATTTACATCTGATAATCATTATGTAATAATTTATTTTAATTATTAGAAAATAGAAAAGTTTAAATTTTTAGAAGTATTGTAATCCTATCAAGATGATATAAAAATTTGTGATTTAGAATTATTATTCAATTATTTAAATAATTGGAAACGTTCTTAATCAATTACTTATGGATAATTTTTATAATTAATTATTCCTTATGTAAAATATGAAGAAATGCCAGATCCTGGTGATTTAAAATATCAATAAGATCATCCTACATAAGAATAAATGGAAATATTTTGTAGATTAATATAAATGAAATTGTAAATGATGTCTACACTTGAATACTATAGATAAAAGATTGATAAATCTCTCATTAATTTAGTTTAAATTTTTGAATTTATAGATTAAGACAGAGATGGATGGATTAAAGCATTTGAAATCACTAAATTGTTATGTAATAAATTACAATTATCAATACCTAGAGTAATTTGGTTATTTGGTGACAATTGAAGAAGCTTCACTTGTATTACAAGACATTGATGAAAGAGGATAAATTAATATTAATTAATTTGTTTACTATTACAAACCAAAATCTTTGGCTATATATTTATGATATATATATATGTAATCATAACACTTTTTATTTTTAAAATATACATAAACTTCATCATTTATATAATATAAAAAATATAAAATTGGTGATATTATAATTTAGAACATCTTTTTATTTAAAAAATGTTATTCATATTTTAACATTATTAAATATTTAATCAATCATGAAGTATATTTTATGTTGGAAGTTCTCCATGTTGGTTAATATATTCTATAATTTCTGCAAATTATCTTTGTTCTGGTTAATATTTTGGAATATCCTCTCTACTAGTATATAGACCTAATGGAGCAATTCTATTTGATTGTAATGGAATGAATTCATCATACTCTTTCCCCCATCCATCATAATGAATAAAGAGTTCTTTTTTACCTATTTGTTTAATAGTTGCTACACACCATATAAATTATTAATCCATTATATCAACTTTTTAATTGATGGCCAAATTATCTATTCTATTATAGAAATATATTTATACAATTTAGATTTATTCCATTATTCCATTTCTTACTATCTATTTTTAAAATGTTCTATTTATGTTTTATCTCCATATTAATTAACTAAATCAATGATTCTATTATCAAAACTTTCACAATATTAGAATGAGTGTGTTTTAATTTTCACTCTACAAACAGGACATTCCTATTATTAAAATAACTATATACTGCTTTTCGCATTAAACTATCAAAAATACACATTTCACAAAATGCATGGCCACATTAAGTAGTAGTAACTTTTTAAAAGATTTCTAAACAAATTGGACAAATTAAATCTTCAAATTTAGGTCTTGATTATTGTTCCAATTTAATTTCTAAGTGAATAAAATTTAATTGATTTATACTTTTTTTTCTTTCATTATAAGTTAAATCTATATTTTCTCGATTTCTCATCTTTTTTAAAAAGTTATCTTTCAATTTTTCTTTAGTGATCAATTACAAATTCACTACTTATTCGATATGTTCTTCTGATGCATAAATCATTAGATTATATAATATAATAATTGATAAAATTAAAAATGAAATATATAAAGTGATAACATTTGTTTTAAACTTTTCATATTATTACTAGACCTATCATAACATTTTTTGTTCTTATATAATTAAGAAGACTAAAATTTAATTCATTAAATATTATCAATAATTCTAATTTATTTTTTTAGTCTAATTATTCTAGAGGACTCTAAAAATTTATTATTCTCAATATCAGAATCTTTTTAATTAATCTAAGAATAGTTTGGAGTTTGTTATCTAGAGTACAGATAGGCTTTTTTTTAACTTGCTCTAATATTATAATAATATCAAAATTACGCCCTTTAAGTATGTATTGTTGGAATATGATAAGTATCAATAAACTGACCAAAACAATGACTTTAATATAGTTTTATATCCTTTTAATAATTCAATTTATTTTTTTAAACTTTTGTAGGGCTGTAAAATTTAATACGAAAACTTGGACTCATTCTTAAAGGTTGATGATGATATTTTATTTTTTCTGTGAAGTTGAATTCAAATTATTTTTATCTTTTCATTTTATATTAATTTAATAAAATAAGTCAAAACTTCAATTGTATTTAACAAAATAATTTATAAACTTTTAACTTTATATCTCATTTCTCTACACACGATTAATTAAAGCATGGACATTAAGACTTTTCAAAATAAGGAAATTTATCAGAATTTCTAAGGCAATTTAACCAAATTTATTTTGTTAAAGTTTTGAATATTTTAAATTTATCAACTGTTATTTAAAAGCTCAATTATTTAATCATCAAAGATCTTAAATCATGTGATTAACATACTATTTTTAATTGTGTTTCATCAGTTGGATCCAAACACAATTTAAATAGATTTTCAAGTAATTTCACCAAACTATTTAAAGGAACAAATTGTTTTAATGATTCTTAATTGAAACATTTCCATTATCCAAAATATTTATCTTATTCAATAGAGGGTCTTTATAGTCTATCTGATTGAATTTATTCCATTTGTGATAAACTTTATATCTCTTCTTGTTAAAATTATTTTGATAATTTCTTTTAATTAATAGCTTATTATTATTGAGTGATAGATCTTACTTAAGATTCTCTTATATCATGAACATCATTTTAAAATTACTGACTCTTAATGAAACTCTAATTAACAATTGGATTATGAGGAGCATACTTACCCCACCATACTTAAAGCTTCTTTTAAGTGACTTATAATTCATGAATAAATTTCACACTATCTTTAATCTTAATTAAATTGTATATAAGATCAAAATTGTCATCAGGAAAAAAGTAAATCATTTAAGATACAGCTCCTATTAAATTTTATAGACTAATTAAGAAATCTGGAGATTTTAATACAAAATCATAGTTTGCCAATTTTTTAATTAAATTACAAATTATCTAACAACTTTCAATATTCAATTTTCCAATCTCTGATGATATATTAAATAATATTTAAGATATTTCTAATAGTTTGTTATCCTTAATTGATTATAAATCCTTCAAAACTGTATTACACAATGCTGTAATCAACAAGTCTCCCCATGTACCTATTATAACAGGAGCATCTGTAAATGTCAAAGTAAATTCTTACTAAACACATAATTATCTATTTAATTATGGTTAAGCACTTAACAATTTAAGTATCTTTAAAGATACTTTTTTAATATATTTTTTTTGGTTGAAGTAAGACAATAAAAAAACAATCATTAGATTTGGAACTATTTTAATATATAATTATAAATACCATTCTGTTCAGTTTTTGAGGATAAATAACTTAAAAAAATGAAACAGTTTTCAAAATTGGATAATTATTTTTCAAAGGTTCCTCTTATAAATTACTATTAAGATTTGTAATAAGAATAAAACTTTTATGTTAACTAAACTATTATTCCTTCCTACACTTGTTAAGGTAGATTAATAAACTAAGGGAATGGAATGTTATATAGTTGAAAGTGCTCTTTTGCTTTGACCATCTCTTCAAACTCTTTTTCAAGAGGCAATATCTCTTTAGATACAAAACCTATGATTTATTTTAATATAAAATACCCTATCCCCCTATTATAAGAGATGTTAACTTTAAACATAAATTTTAAAGATTATCTTCTATTTAATTGGGCATATTGACTAAACCTCTGAGAAATTATTTGATTCTTTCAGTTGAGAATAATGAAAATGCTATCATTGAAACAAATAATTCTGGGAAAAATTGTATTTTTTGTAATGTAAACAAAGCAGCATTAGGAGTTTAAACTAATAATTTTTGAATTTTTGTTTCATTTTTAAGATTATTATTTTTATTTTATTATTCTTGATGTTATTATTCTTGATGTTATTATTCTTAAAATTATTCATTAATTTCTTATTCAGGTTGACTTATTTTTTCTTTGTTTTCATCCTTATTTTCTTCAATTATTTCATGAATTTCTTATTCAAAAAAAAACTATGATGTAAATAATGTTGAACTAACTAAAGCATATATACAAGATAAAACAAGATAGCGATTTTCAAAATATTTTGCTATATCATTTGGATATTTACATTAAGGATTAAAACCCTTCCATATATAACCAAATTGTAATTTATAAGAATTCCATACATCATGATAATATTATGCAAAATATTGTAAGAGTGTATCATTCTTTACAACTGATTCCTTTTAAAATTAGTTATTATAAATACATTATATTCTAAAGCATCAATTGTAAATCCAAAATGGAAGGACATTTAAAATAATCTAGAAAGTAATGAAATTATAAGTGGAGGGTCTCGTTCTTAAATTTCCTCATTAGGTTTAGGTATTTTAGTATACCACAGTATCTCTTTCATTTGTTCTTTAAATTATTCTTCGTATAAAACTGGTATTATTGAAGTTAATATTCTCAAACTGTTCTTCCATTATCTATATTGAATATGAGATGCTAAATCAGTTTATGTATCACAAAGAAATTAATGTAAATAGTGGATTATGCCTAATATCCTTTTTGGAGATTATTTTAATATATCCCTAATGTCTGAAGGATAAAAAGCATTAAGATAATCTTCTTGAGAGATATCAAGAAGTAGTATAGATTTCAATTCTTCTGCTAATGCATTTTCTTCTTCTTATTTCAATAAATTGACAAATTTTGCCTTTACATTGATCTAATTTCCCATTTAATTTATTCTAATTAATTAATATGGATAAATAAGTTTATATATCATGATAATAAAGATTATTCAATCTTTTAGCATGTTGATTCCAATAATTTTAATAAAGATTTCTCTTGTTTTTCTCTTAAAAATTACTCTTACTAAAAAAAATAAATAGAATAATATATATACTTCTAAATCATTTTAAATAGATTAATCTAAGTCTTATAATAATCTAATTGTTGTTTCGTATGATTCTTCTGAAATTCTTTTTTCTTCACTCAATTATTCTTATAATCTTAATATTTCTTCACCAAACCCTCTTATTAATTTTTCAGCATTTTGATCTCTTATTTATTTTTCTTATTCAAAATAATATCTTAATTCTTCAAGTTCTTTTTCAATATTTTCAATTTGTTTTTCTTCATATTCAGTTCTTTAAATATTATCTTTTTTTAATTCTCCTTTCATTGCTTAAATTTTATCATCAATTTCAGCAAAAATCTCTTATTCATTTACTTTTCTACTAGAATATTCTTCATTTAAAGATAATGAAAAGTTTTTCTCAATTAAAGTTAATGATTTCAAACTTTTTTCACATATTAACTACAATTAATTTCTATTTTACCTATCTTTAATCTCTTTCGCTATATAAAGTTTCTTCTAACTTTTCATATTGTTCATAAAGTAACTAAAAATTTATATATATATGTATACTCTAAATTTTTAATTATCATTAATTTCTCCTTTTTGAATTCTCTCCTCAAGTATTTTTATTTTTTGAAAATATAAATCTCTTCTATTCTAAAATTAATTAAAAATATTAATTACTTTATCATCCTTATTATTAGTGGATAATCCTTATAATACTCTATTCAATTCATTGATACGATCTTAATTTTAACTAGGTGATGCATTTCTCTATCAATTTATGATCAAATCTATACATTTGAATAATCAGATTCATCTTGTTTCTTATTTGCAGTAGCACTTTTGAACATTATTTTTAAATTTAATTTTAAGGTTAACTGTTTTATATATGTATTATTTATTTTATATTAATGTAAGACGAAGAAAAAATTTTAGAATAATTAAAAGAACTTGACAAAGCATAAGATAAAAATCCAGTATACTATATTAATCTATTTAAATCTAGGTAACTTTAGCATCTTTAAAAACTTTAAAATCTGCAATATATAACAGAGATGTTGATTTATAAACTGTAGTAAAATTAAGAACTTTAAATGAAACTACATTAAAATCAGAAAATATTAAAATATATTTCTGTTCTCTCTGTGGAAAGAAAGCAATAGGAGCAAATATTGGATTAGATACTCTTCCAACAAGAAGATCAGATAATAGCATTGCAATTAATTTAAAACAAATTTTTATCAGATTATTTCTTAAATAAGAAGGAATAAAATACATAAAACGTTCTAATTGTATAATTATTCATCCTATGATTTTAAAGCTGTTGAAAAATAATATAGATGGTGTTGTGAAGAATGTGGTGTTCATGTAGCATATTAATGTGTAAGTTATGAAGAAGGTGCAGAATTAATTTAAGGAAATTCAGATATCTAATTATCAAATAAACCTTATCTATATGTACTTAATGATGCAATTGTTTTAAATTAATAATTTTCAAAATTACATAGTGAAATAGCTAAACTTAAAGATCAAATGGAATATGAATAATTAAAATGAATCATCTATGGTAGGTATCTAAATAATTTATAATTAACAATATATATATTCTTTATAATTCAATTATTTTTAGGTTAAAAAATATTACAATTAGAAATTTTATATAAATAAAATATTATTTTTTGCATATTTATCAAAAAAACTTATATCTTAATCTCATTCATAATATTAAAGACTCATTTAGTAAATATTGGATAAGAGAATCCCTAAAATTATTGGCAAAATAAATTTAAAAAGGGAAGATCCTATTAATTAAACAAACTAATAAACCTTTCTTTAATTTTTATATTTCAATTGTATTATAAAGTTATTCTCTCTTTCGTTTTTCTTCTGCCTTATTTTATTATAAATAAATATTACTAGATCTAATTCAATTTATTTTAGTCTTTAAACACATTAAACTTAATTTGTTAATGGAGTTGGATATATAATTGATTGCATAGTAGCCTAAGACTCTGTTCTACTATTTGACTAATTAAAATTATAAATTATTTTAATACTAAAACTGATGCATGACTAGAAGCCAAATTATTCCCAAAAATTGGAATTTTTTTACCAAATTCTTCTTTCAAAATACTTGTACATAATCTAATATTAAAACAAGCTTGAGATTGAAAGAGATTGTCAATTTCAGCAATCTAACTATATGATTGGTTTTACTGATTTCTTTTCTTAAACACTAATAACATAAATTTAGAATTTTTGATTCACGATATGCTTTGGATCTAAATTCTTCCTATATTCTTATTTATAATGTACTTTAGCTCTATCTGTTGTACTAAATTCTACAACTTCAGATTAATGTGGTGATATTAATCCCCTACTTTATTTAACAGAAAATAGTTCTGGTTTTGTGGATTTAATCTATCAAATAAGTTTTTCTTTAAACTTTATATGCTAAGTAAAGGGATGTGACATTTTTTAAACTTAAGTTGTAAGGGATATATATGTCATTTTTTAAGTCAAAAATAATCTCAGTTGATGAAACTTCAAGCATATATAAATTAATAAATATTTTAATTTTTACAATTAATATAAATTCCTCAAAATTGTATAAATTATAATCAAATTAAACAGAAGATAACAAAGATTTTAAATTATTCCCTTTCTGAGTATGTATATGATGATGATAAAATTTAAAATTATCAAATGATGTAATAAAGCCAATTCTCAATATAAATATAATCTCATATATTAATTAATGAATTTTAAGAAAGAGACTTTAGAATTACTTGGATATGAAAACATATAGTGCTCAATTCCAAAAACTTTACTTGATAATTTCACTGCTTTTTTTACTGTCTAATAACAAAATCCTCTAACAAATGAATCTCCTGAAAGTATTTTTTTTTATAAAACTGACCTTAGATTATGAGAATGGTTTAATATTTATGTCTGCTATAAGTTAAAGTAACACACCTTAGATCTCAGCCCAATAATTAAGGTCAGTACAATCTAAAAGTTCCAAGGGAAAGATCAGAACTTTTTTTCCTTAAAGTAATAATCATGTAATAGTTTAAATAGAGTGGCCAGTTCAAAAAGCAAATATGAGTCCATTTTCTTTTTCAAATTACTCTCATTTTCAATCTTTGACAAGTCGATATTGGTATTACTTGGACAATAGTAATAATGTTTAAGGTAAGGTCTAGCCTTATCTAAAATTTTTAGGTCCATTTTCTTGTGTTGAAATGGATAACTGGTATCGAAAAAATCTCCTCAATCCTGATCTGTTGATTAGCTATAAGTCTCATGATCTAACTTCGTTTGTGAAAATCAAAGATATATTAAAGGATTCTGAAAATCCTAAATGTGATAAAATGTTACGTTAACTATATAAAAGGGCTTCAAGTGCTAAAAGAATAAGTATATATTGTATCTACAATTAGAAAATAAAAATTCAAGCACTTCACCTATTAGTAAGGCATCAACTGAAATATCATCTAGCAACAATAACAGCTGCTAAAAATCTAGATAACCCATTTGGGGAATCGATACCGATTATTTTTTAGGTTTCTGAAGCTATATCTAATAATAATTAAAACATCATTAATCATTTTTTTAAACAGGAAAATTTTATATATTTTTTTAATTTTATTTTTAAAATCTAACAATTTATTAATAATAGTATTTTTTGAACAAACTCAAAAAATAAAAACAATTTTGATGAATTTATAATTATTCATTCATGATAGTAACTTTCTTAAAATTCTTCTAAAGGGGGTCGTTCCAATGTCATCGACAAGTTATTCGTGAAATTCCTGTTATTATTATTATTATATTATTACGTCTAATGCTATGCTTATTTATTCTGGTTAAGGTGGATGTTATTCGAATATCTCTGTATTTTATCCTTAGCATTCTCCAATTTCTTTTGAAATTATGGTGCGTGTACCAATGACTGGACTGAGATCATCAAACTCTTATTAATTTCCTTATTACTAGCTGCTTAAGTTATATATTTTCTATAATAATATTTGAATCTTTACCTAAAACTCATTTATTATTAAATCGGCTTTTCCTACACATGCTCCTGTTTAAATTGTTTCTAATCCAGAATATCCTAAAACTGTTTCTAATCTTGCAATGTTCCTTGCATGATCATCTTTAATAATTTAGTCGAAATTCCATCCTTAAGTCTCTAAGTAGGTTTTTTTTGTATCTCCAATGAATCTCCTTTGGAATTACTTTCTATTTAGATCTTATTCCTAGAGCTTCTTATGTTACAATTACAGTTCTATTGTATCGATTTTCTTTTGTAATTTAATAATTTCTTCTGCTTAGGTATTTTTTTATTTTATGGCATTTTCCAATTATTATCTCGTTTATAATAATGAGCTATGCATTTCATTTCTTTCTTGCATCAATTATTTCACAGTACATTCTAGTTAATATTCTCTAGAAAGTGGATTAAAGGTTGAACTTTCCTGTTATTACAATATAAAAAATAAGAATTATATAATACTAAGATTTTTGAGTTTCTAATGTAAACATGAGTTACTGATTAATTTAAGTAAGTTATTGTTATTATTTTTCTGATTCATATTTATATTTTTGAAATTCTATTGTTAAATCTTCCTAAAAAATAATTGATCAAATTTTTACTAATTATTTTTATAGACTTTATTTCATTTAAGTCATTTCACTTTTCTTTTAATTATAAGATAATTTCAATTTTTATAATTTTTCTCTTTCTTTTATTTAATACATAGAATACTAATCTTTAACTGTAACCATAATTTAATATATTTCCTAAACCTTCTCTTATTCTACTTAAAGTTATCTCCTTAATTTTGAAAAAACTTCTTGAATTTATAATAATACAAGTGAATCCTCCATTTTATCACCTAACATAGCTAATAATTTTTCAACATCTGATATTTCTTCATTTTCTTAAGTTGATTTTATTAATGTTTATTCATTTTCATCAAATTTTATATTTAATTCATCTTCATCTGTTTAAAAAGAGAAATTATCAATATCTAATAATTTATTTGATTTTGGTGAAGGAGGTTAAGAATCCATTTAAAATGATACATTCTTTTTTTTATGTTATGGATTTATAATTTAAGGACAGATTTAATCTTAAGTAAGATCTTTTGTTAAAATTGAATCTAATTTTGTAAGAGTTTCTGAAAAATTTACTATACTCTAAAAGGTTCTTTCTTCAATTTCTTTATCCTATTATTCAGTCATGAAAATATCTTTAGTTGATTCAGAATCAGATGGACAATAATTAAATTGATTTTTTAAATTCAAATTGGCAAGGAAAAAATCTAAATCTTATTTAGTTGATGACAATGCCCTACGAAAATCAAATAGCTTTTATTCATTCTCTAATATTTGTGTTTTTAATTATTCATTTTCAAAAATGAATTTTTAATTATTTTTTAAACATTCAGATAATTATTATTTTATATGTTCTTCATTTAATTTCTATTTTATAATTTTTTCTTATAATTCATCAATCCTACTCTAATAATTTATTTAAAAAGCAGCCATTTCTGTTTTTTGAAATTCTAATTCTTCTTATAAATTAACAACTAATTTATGTTCTTTTAATAATTATAGAGATGAATGTTATTTAGATTATGTAATATTTTATTAATTTCCTGTATTTTAATTTGGATTTCCTTTGTCAATTATTACTGAAGTGCTGTTCTCTACTTTTTCCATTAATTTATTTATTATTTCATCTTATTCTAATATCTTTTATTCAGCAATATCTAATAAGGCTTATAATTCTTTAGCACTTTTCTCTGCATTAATAGTAGGTTTATTTTTTATAGCTTTTGCTCTTGCTCCAAATCTTAATGTACTTAATGTTTCTTTGTCATTGTATGAACACATTGAACATGCTACTACTAATGTAGTTTTAGCATTTCCTCCAAGTGATTCACTTAATATTCTTGTTAATTTAGAATCTCTATAAGGAATATGCTCTTTTTTATCAGAAGTTAAAGCATTTATAACCATACCTAAACAAGTTAATGATTTATTAATATTTTTAGCTTCTTCTAATTATTAACCAGAAACATTTGTTTTTGCTACTTTTTCTGAACCTGCCAAATCCACAAAATACAATTTACTTAATTTACTGGAATCTGTTTTCAAATTTTTTTCACTAACTTAAATTTAAAATAAAGAATGAGATCTAGAAGATCTTTCATTCATTCTTGTTGCAGCTATTGTTCTATTATTTGATCCAGTCATCATAACTTATTTCATTTCTTCTGGAGATTCAACTTTAATTTCTGTAAGATTCTATACAAAAAGACCTCTAAGTCTATCCTCTTTTATTTTTAAGTTTGTTTTATTAGTATCTAATAAATCCATAATTTTCTCATTGTAAATCTCTAAAAAAGAAACCTTTACAATATATATTAAATCATGAGATTTATTATGCACAACATCAAATAATTCAGTCATGACTCTTGGTATTAATCCTTTAGTCCTTTCATTAGGATTATCTGGACCCTATATATATTTTCATTCTATATAGTACTTCCATTGTAAATGTTTTTCCTGATGAAGTTTAACCATAAGCAAAAATGGTTCCATTATAACCATTCATTACACTGTCTAAAATTGGTCTTCCTACTTCTTCAAATACATCTGCCTATTCTGAATCAGGTCCAAATATTCTATCAAATGTAAAATCTTATTTATCATTGGAGCCAACCTAAAATAATTGATAAACTCAAATCTCATACTGTAACAGTAATTTGTTTATCATTGTATGAAACACAACATTCACCTCCTTATTACATTTCAAGAGCATTAAGTGGTCTTAATCTTGCAACAACTTTTATATTTTAGCCTTCTTTCATATAAAAATATTATATTATATAAAATTAGCTTATAATTTATAAATAAAATTATACTTTTTGTTTGTATATAAAGAAGTAATACATATTTAAAATTTAATATTCTCAAGAGAAATATTCCTTTTAATAGTCTTTTTGGTTATTCATAAAAAAATATCTAAAATATTGATATAATATAATTTATTGACATTATACTATGATATAGGTATTTTTGATAATAATATTATAGACTCATATATGTAATATAATAAATTCTATAGAATAAAAAATAAAAATCTGATATATTCAGATTGCAATTTCTTAAAAATAAAAAATATGAATTAAGAAGAAAGTGATATTAAAAATCAATATTAGATAATATTGATTGAGAAATAATTGATAAAATTTATTAATTAATAAATTTAATGATTATAAAATGACGACATAATTGGAATAATAGAATCACAATAATTAATTAATACCTTTGAAAATAATGGTTATTATTTATTTAGAATTGATTCTTGAGAGAATATGATGTGAGAAATTAGGAAATCTAAAGTAAAATTTAGTATTCTATGTAGAGAAATATTTAATTAAAATTGAATATGTATTTTATATTTTTGTATGAATAAATAATGAATAGTATTTTAACCTTTGTTTGACAATTAAAATCAATAGTATAATTTATTCTAAATTAACGCTAGTTTTGTCATTTTAAAGTAGTCATTGAATATATTTATCACATAATAAAAATATCATTACTTGATTTAAGATGGGTTGTGCTGCAGCAAAACCAGAGAAACAAGACAAATCACATAGTAAACAAAACTCTCCTTGCTCACAAACTAAAGAGGCTACTCCATCAATATCATTGATGTAAGAAACTGATAAAATAGAATCAGATTATATTTTCCATAGTTTGGATCCTTTAGTAAGTAAGCTATTAAATTAATAAAATAGCAAGAAGAAATTACATAAAAAAAGCAGTTTCTAAGAGCAATAATGCAAGTCGAATAGTTAAGGTTTATAATTGTTTAAATCTTACAACTACTGAAAAGTAAGAACTAGAAAGAATAGTAAATCATCTATTATAAATTGTAAGTCTTATCATATATATAAGAAACATTTAAACTTAGTCAGCCAATAATAATACTATTATAATGATAATAAATTGTTCTTAGTTAGTGACTTTTGTGATGGTGGCAATCTATTATCCCGTTTGGATCATTTTAGTCAACTACAATAACATAATATGTTTGATGTGTTTTGTTAGATTATGGCAGGAATCTAATTCTTACATAATAAAGGAATTGCACATGGGTATGTTAAGTTGTGGTATTTTAGAAACATTCAACTTGAAAGTATAGTGTTTACAGATAAAAGCATGTAGAATGTCAAACTAATAGACTATGGTATATCAAGTTCCTTGAAATCTACATGTTTATAATGGAGACCTAATGGAGGTATTTAAGAAATATCCTTCAAATCACCTGAAGCCTTGAAATAATCAAACCTAANGACTCATATATGTAATATAATAAATTCTATAGAATAAAAAATAAAAATCTGATATATTCAGATTGCAATTTCTTAAAAATAAAAAATATGAATTAAGAAGAAAGTGATATTAAAAATCAATATTAGATAATATTGATTGAGAAATAATTGATAAAATTTATTAATTAATAAATTTAATGATTATAAAATGACGACATAATTGGAATAATAGAATCACAATAATTAATTAATACCTTTGAAAATAATGGTTATTATTTATTTAGAATTGATTCTTGAGAGAATATGATGTGAGAAATTAGGAAATCTAAAGTAAAATTTAGTATTCTATGTAGAGAAATATTTAATTAAAATTGAATATGTATTTTATATTTTTGTATGAATAAATAATGAATAGTATTTTAACCTTTGTTTGACAATTAAAATCAATAGTATAATTTATTCTAAATTAACGCTAGTTTTGTCATTTTAAAGTAGTCATTGAATATATTTATCACATAATAAAAATATCATTACTTGATTTAAGATGGGTTGTGCTGCAGCAAAACCAGAGAAACAAGACAAATCACATAGTAAACAAAACTCTCCTTGCTCACAAACTAAAGAGGCTACTCCATCAATATCATTGATGTAAGAAACTGATAAAATAGAATCAGATTATATTTTCCATAGTTTGGATCCTTTAGTAAGTAAGCTATTAAATTAATAAAATAGCAAGAAGAAATTACATAAAAAAAGCAGTTTCTAAGAGCAATAATGCAAGTCGAATAGTTAAGGTTTATAATTGTTTAAATCTTACAACTACTGAAAAGTAAGAACTAGAAAGAATAGTAAATCATCTATTATAAATTGTAAGTCTTATCATATATATAAGAAACATTTAAACTTAGTCAGCCAATAATAATACTATTATAATGATAATAAATTGTTCTTAGTTAGTGACTTTTGTGATGGTGGCAATCTATTATCCCGTTTGGATCATTTTAGTCAACTACAATAACATAATATGTTTGATGTGTTTTGTTAGATTATGGCAGGAATCTAATTCTTACATAATAAAGGAATTGCACATGGGTATGTTAAGTTGTGGTATTTTAGAAACATTCAACTTGAAAGTATAGTGTTTACAGATAAAAGCATGTAGAATGTCAAACTAATAGACTATGGTATATCAAGTTCCTTGAAATCTACATGTTTATAATGGAGACCTAATGGAGGTATTTAAGAAATATCCTTCAAATCACCTGAAGCCTTGAAATAATCAAACCTAACAAGTTTTAAATCTGATATATGGTCATGTGGATGTCTCCTATACTTCTTTTTAACTTCTCATATGCCATTTTAATCAAGAGATGTCCAAGCTTTAAAAACGGCAATATAAAGAGGAATAGTTAATTTTGAAGGCTCTGAATGGACTAACATTAACCCAGATATGAAAATATTAGTAAGTAAAATGCTTAGCTCAAATCCATAACTTCGTCCAACTGCATCTGAAGTTATTAATCATCCAATATTTTTGAATAGAGCAAAAATTATAACTAAGCCAAATAAACAACTCTCTAAATAGATGAAAGACTTTAAAGTATTTAGATTCTTTATAATATTAGTAATAATCATAAATGCAAAGTGCTATGTTAAATTATATTGCAGAAAACATGTTGTAAGAATAAGATAAGAAGAAATTAATGGAAGAGTTCTAAAAATTTGATTTAAATAAGGATGGATAACTTACAAAATAAGAACTCTTAACAGTATATACTACAATGTATTCATCCGAATAAGCTAATTAAGAGGTTGAAGCCATATTCTCGAAAATTGATCAAAATGGTAGTGGAAGAATAGACTATCAAGGTATTAAAAATTATTCATTTTTAGAGTTTGTATTAGCAACAATAGATCAAAAAAAATATTTTAATAGAGAAAAATTGCTTATGTTATTTTAATAAATCGACAGAGATCATAGTGGATAATTAAGTAAATTAGAAGTTAAGAAATTATTAAGAGACATGTAAGTACCAAAAGAAAAACTTGATTAATTGTCCAAACAATTAGATTAAGATGGAGATGGTTAAATTGCTCAAGAAGAATTTCTATAAATTATGTTATCTATTGCATGAATTTTTTATATTATTTATAAGTTATTAGATTTTAGTTTATTTATCTATTTATTAAACTATACATCATGATGACTTAACCTTATCATTATTATTTTAATATACTTCAAATTTCTATATTATCCATAAACTTATTGTTGAATTTATTTAAGTAACTTTTAAACTCAAAATTATATCTAATTTTAAGTAATATTAATAATTAATTGATAATATCAATTCTATCATTAATATTATATAATTTCAAATTGTTTAATCCAAGAGATTCACAATACAATAATAATAGATGATAAATGAAAAGGTTAAATATTGAAAAGATTAATATTTATAGAGAAGTTGAAAATAAATAATTAAATAAGTATTATTTCTTTTGGGTTCTACATTTTTGATTAACCTTTCATAGATCTCTATTTTATAACAACATTTTTGATAAATTTAATTATCAATTCACTCATTAATTATGTTTATCAAATAACTTTAATCAAAAATATAAACACGCTCTGTATCGAATGTATCAGGGCATTCAAATCTAAGATATTCAGGAATAACAACTCCTTAATGTAATACAATAAATGCTATTTGGGACATTAATTAAATTGGATAAGAATTAGATTGTCAAGATGACCCAATTTTGAATGAAGCTTTGAATCTAATTAATAATCACTAAGTAAATCAAGCAATTTTAATATTAAACTAAAGTATTATTATTAATTATAACATAGTGGTTTCTGATGGGAAAAAATATTTGGGATAATAATCTCAAGTATAATTGGTAATGAAAGTTACATTATTGGTTGTATCAAGTGCAATGTCAATTTTAGAGAATGATCCAGCTTCAGCATTACTTCTACTTCTAGGCTGTGATTAGATGTTTAAAGGATTAACACCAAAATAATAAGGTTACTTAAGAGTTTAGATTCTAAATGGACTTGGTTGTTATTACAGAAGAGTAGGATAATTGGAAAAGGCATTAAAAGAATTAGAATGTGCTTTGGCTGTTATTAAAAAATATGCTTTGAAAGAGGTTGCAGTAACACATCTAAATTTATCTGTAGTATTATCTTTAGTGGAAGAGTATTATATAAATATTATTAGTAATTAGACATGATGGAGCATTAGAAAATGCAAAGAAGGCTGTTACTGAAAGTCATAAAGAATACTAATACTATATTAAAAACCATGTATCTATGTAAGCATTCAAATTTCAACGATGTGTAAGTTCATTAGCAATAGCTTTTTATAATGTTGGAGTTTAAGAATAATATTTTTAAAAATATTAATTTGCATTATAGGCATATGCATCAGCATTTAAAGTAGCTGAAGATAATTTAGGAATTCATCATTATTTAACAATTCAACTTAAAAATATATATGAGGAATTTGCTAGATAATTGGCTATTGCAGAAGGTTAAAAAATTGCTATTACATCTTTAAATCACAAATTTTAAATTAGAGCAAATGTCACTAGTCAATATGCTTAAAGTGTATTAAGGAACTAACCTTAAGATACAGTTAAAAATGTTACTGAAAGACTTTTTTAATCAGAATCTAAAGGATTAGGCCATTCACTTAGACCATAATCAGCTATTATGAATCAAACATAAGTTCCAAAATTAAAATCATTTGATTTTACTAAAAGAGAAGGACATACTTTTAGAAAATAATTATCTGCTACTAATCGTACATTAAATGAAGATAATGCAAAGATTGAAATAGATAAATTAGAAAAGACTAAATCATTACAATAATGCATCTAAGATTTATAATCAGTAATAATTTATAATATAATTATAAGCAAGCTTAAAAAGAATAAGAAGAATTAAATAAAATTTAAGAAGAAAAATAAAAAGAATTATAAAAATTAGAAGCTTTTAGATATATTAATTAATAAATACAGCAATAGAGATTATAAAAAAACTCAAATTAAACCTCTAGAGAAATGAAGTCATCAATAGATTAAATGAAGTAAATTTTTAATACAGATCCATAAATTTAAGAAGTTTTAGATGAAAGTGAACCATAACCTTTAGTTACTATTTAAGAATAGAATAGAGTAACAAAAACAGAAGTAGATGAAAATAAATTAAACTATTAAATTAATACTAATGATTAAAATCTAAAACAAGATAAAAATACCTAAGAAGAAAAAAGAATGTCTTTTACTACAACTCTTGAATAAAAGGGATTTTAAGATGAAACAATTTAGAGTTTTACAAGAAAATTAGAATTTGAATAAGATTCATCTATGAAAAACAATTATTTTTAATAAAATATGTCATTCAAATAAATTGAAGATTTAGAAGAAATAACAGAAGAAATTAATGATGTTAATTACTAATAATAATAATAATAATAATAATAATAATAATAATAATAATAAAATGTTGAAAATTAAGTTGATGAAATAATTTAATTAAAGGCTAAACAATTAGAAGAAGAATAAAAATTATAAAAGATTTGTTATATACAATAATTTTGGAAATCTAGTTAAATTAAATTTAATTAACGAATCTAAAAGTTATAATCTGAATATTTAATGGTAACTGAAAAGTAGTACTTTAAAATTATAGATGAGAAAAACAATATTCATAATGGAATTCTGTTTTTGGGTTTTAAATAGACTATTAACAATATAGATATTGTGTTTATTGATTTTTATACTTTAAGAAAATCTTAGAGGAAATGCTCAAATTTAAATGAAAAGCTTTAACATATATTAATTTTAACTGTTTAGTGTATTATATCAATAACTAAAGATATTTTGGATAATATTGAAAACAAATTATCATCTATTATTCGTATTAATTAATAATAACTTATTATCCAAAGTAATTTGTTAGAAATTGAAATTTAATAAATTGAAAAATAAATTTAATTAAGGTTTGATGTTAAATAATTAAGAATTTATGAATATCTCAATAAAATTGAAGAGAGCATATAAAATCTATAACTTCCAACTACTATAGCTGATATTTAATCATTTAATACAGACTCCATTGTTGTATAAAAATCAGCTTAAATCAATTAAGAATTAAATCAACATCCTTTTTAAGAAATTCCTTTAATTGAGGAATAAGTTGAAGGATAAATTAATGTTGAAAAATAGATGAGTGAAGTACAAATTAAATAGGAATAATAATCAGGTGATTAAGAAATTCAATTTAGCGAAAGTCAATAGGAAAGTAAAAATGGAATTGATGATGTTGATAAAATTAATAAAACTGGATAATTTAATATTAATGTCTTGTCTTCCTAAAAATTGCAATCTTAATAGGATTTAGATAAACCAGATGAAGATAATGAGGATTTAAAATAATAATAAATTTAAACAAAAGAAAATAACTAAAATCTAGATTTCACACTTCAATATAATGAATATAATATGAATAATAATTCTATGATGGATACTATGAAAACTAATGAAGTAGATAATTATTAATATTTATAAACAGATAATATTAATAAAAATAAAGATAAAGAGAAACCTTCAGTTAATTAAACTATTTTAGAAGAGGACGAAGAGGATCAAAAAGAATTAGAATAAAATGTTAATATTAGTAAATAAGAAGAGAAGTAGAAAGAACATTAGAGAGATAATTCTTCTCTTTATTCAAACTCTGATTAATAAGTAGATTCAAATTAAAATTAAGATTAATTGAATTAGTAAAACAATTAAATTTTATATGATGAAAAATCTTAGGTTAATTAGATTTAAATCCCTTTTAAGGAAAATAAAAATTATAGTAAATAAACTAGTTTGCAAATGCCAGATTTAATGAAAGAAAATATTGATTCTGATTAAGATAGTAATTATTTTATTTATTTATCATTTAGTGTCATTGACAAAACCATATTAATATGAATTTGTAGGAACAATTACTGGTATCAATAAGATTAATGGGACCTTAATATTAATAAATATACTTATCAATAAGGAATCATAATTATTTTAGGCTAAGGCATAAATAGATGAAATTAAAGTTAAACCAACTTATTTTAAAGTTGAAAATGTAGAGAAAACACTTAAAAAGCCATAAAAGTATTTAAAAGGATATTTAGTTGATTGGAAAAATGAAATTGTTTTAAAAGTTTATACAAAATCACATGAAAAAGCTATTCTTAAACTATAAAAAAAGTTTAAATTTGATCATTATAGAAGACATATATCTTTTAAATTAGCTAAAACTAATATAGAAGGTGGATTATATGTAGGTTCACGAAAATAAGTAATTTATTTAGCTATTGAAACTAAAACTACTTAACAAAGAAATTCTTATACATTTAGAAATGAAAATTATAGTCAATTTGTTAATAAAATTTCATTTAGAGTATTAAATAATCTTAAGTATTCAGAAGAAAAAGGGATTTATTTGCTTTAAGAACCATAACATAGAATTTTAGCTTAAAATTTATAAGGTAAATTCAATAATAATTTAAGCTAAAATTTTTAAATTGTTAAAACCATAACATACCTTTGAATTTATTGGTTTTGGCCTATTAAATGGAATTTATGATTCAGTCCATAAAAAAATAATTATAGCTAGTGACAATCGAAAGACTTAACCTGCTTAAGTTGATATACCTAAGTCAATATAAGGAGACCAAATTATATCATTTTCATAAAATTTATTAAATCGAGTATTCATTTAAAAATATAATATAGTCTTTTATAATACAAAGTAATAATGAAAATTGTGTAATTTATTATGAATAAAAAGATGAAAATTTTGTAAAATATATTTAAGATACAATATTTTAATTTTAAACAATAAGAACATTAAAAATTGATTACTATCAAATATATAAAGGATAAATAAGAAAATAAGAAATAAAAGTAGAATTATAAAGAAAAATTAAAAGGATCTTTTGTTTAAAATATTAAGAGAAAATTTATATGATAGGTAAATTAAATGATAAAGAGATTAAAAATTTGATATAAAACTTAAAAAAAATAGTTAGTACATTCTTAACTTAAGAAAATAACTAAATTGAAATAGATATAAAAT